TTCTTACTGGACTGGTTACCGGCGAGATAACCTCCTCGCGAATGGGCGTCATCGCTCTAGCACTCTGAAGCTGAGCCGTGCTGACAGCGCCAGTTGCTGGCAAAATTACCTCCCCGCGGTCAGGAGTCGTAAGCCTAGCGCCCTGCAGCTGAGCTGGCCGATGCAGAGCGGCAACACTTTGTGGTGTCAAAGTCGCCTGCCCTGGCAAGCCTGGCTCTACTGCCCTTGGTGACGCAACTCTAACGTATTCGACCGGACCAGTCTGGCTTTCGTCGCTGCTAACCGCCGCGTGTGTGGGTTCGCGCTGCGAAAGGTCAGGCACGCGACCTTCTTTAAAATCGCTCGGTTGAAGCGGTGCTCCTAACTCTGGCCTTTCTATCGCAAGCGTAAAGCGCAAGTAGCGTTCCCTCAACTCCTCGATTTCGCCGTGTAAAGAAAGTTTCCTATGTCGCATTAACCGTAACAATGCGACCGGCTCTGTTGAGTCGATACGGCACTTGACTTCCTTGACGCGAGTATCGCGGAGAATTCTACGCATGGTTACGCGATCCTTACATGCAAGCGGCATGGTGCGATCAAATCGTTAGCGTAAAAAAAAATTCAAATGAAATAAATACTTAAAAAAAACTATTTTCCAATTCAACGACGCGCGCGAGTTGCCAACAGACAGCTAACACGCTAAAAGAAAAATATAAACGGAAAAACTATACTATATGTAACCAACCAAAAAAAAGAAATAAATAATAAATGAATAGAATAATAAAAAAACTATGTTCCTCCAGTGTACTAGGCCGGCAAGTTATTGCCTTGCCTAGAACCAGAAAGGAATGCAGCGTTCGAACGTAAACACACTCGGACCCTCGAATTCTCAGAAGCAAACACGTGTTGGCGCGAGCGACCTTTGCGCGCCGCGACCTGATACTCTAATGCTTACTGTTTCCAAGTTTTTTTTTTTCTCTTAGACAAAGGTGCGTTGTTTTAACACGCTTTGCCCTTGCTAACAAAACGCGACAAAATCACTTTCACAAACCATACTGTCGAATTTACCGTAAAAAAAAAGAAAATGTAATCACTAATGCTACTTATTAGCTATTCGCGCACACACATACGAGCACTGTTCTCACCTCTGCTTTGCCCTTCCCCACAAGGGATACCATGTAATAGTGTCGGCGTGCAATGCCGATAAATCCACCACTACCACCAATTATTTATAAAGAGGGAAGGCAAGGGAGGCGGTGTATCGCTCCAGGCAAAGCAGGAAGGAGAACAGCGGGCAGAATAATTTCACACACTCAATCCGTTGACAAACCGTTTATTACAACGCATTACTTAGAGTGCTGGAGAAAGTACAAACACTTATTAACAATAACGCACAAACTTAATCTAAACGAGATGACCGGCACGTTAGCGCCATGTCACCTCGTTAACCGGCTCAAACAATTACTTGAATTACGCACTGTCGAAAACTACGCCGGCTCGGGAAAGCCTGGCGTCGCAACGCGAACCGTGAGAATCGCCGAGGAAAGGAAGAGATATAAAGAGAGAGAGGAATGGATGACCTGACCAATTTCGGCGGACGTCACTGTCGCCGGCAATCTGGAAGATGTCCCACCGGCGGCCTGGCAGGAAAACCCTTGGCTGCTGTGCAGCCGGTGATCTGGCAGAAGACCCAGCCGGGTACCGTCCTGATGGTGGCTTCTTGCAGGAAACCTCCTGACTGCCGCGTCGCTGACAGAGAAAATCCCGTCCGGCCAATCTGTCGAGGAATACCAACTTCTTCCCGAACAAAGGGCGCAGGCTTCGCAACGATGGTCACCAACTGATATGGCCGATCTCTTTCTCGTGCGTCGCGTAACTCACTGTCGCGAGTGCATGAGAGCCTTCTCCCACCACTCGCCTCCTAATCGGCGGCACGCGGCAATGCTGGTCGCGACAAGTGCCGCGCGCCAAGCCCAACTACTAGACTATAGTTTCTCTCTCTCTCTCTCTCTCGCACTCTCAATATTCGGTAGCGTCGTCGCGTCCCTGTCCTCGTCCTCCGCTCTCGTGCGTTGCTGAAAATGAAAAGGGGCAGGCATCAGGCACGTGATAACAACGTGCGTTTGATGCCAGCCGTGCGCCTTTGCCTAGGAAGGAGAGGGAGATAAGCACACGGTGCAGGCCATGACAGGCCTACACCGTCACAGTGTTACTATTTAATCCCATAGCCATTTTTAAAAATTTCCTCTGTACCCTCTCAAGATTTTCTCATTTTTGCCACCCCAGATCTCTACCCCATATAAACACCCCGCTTTTATTAAGCTGTCAAAAAGATAAAGCCTTTTTTTTAGGTTTTCAATTTTTGTTCTTTTTACGATTCCCCATGTTGCGTTGATTGCTCTAGTTACTTTCCCTGTTATTTTGTTTATATGTGTTGAATTCCCGTTTTTCTGCGTAAACCAGTACCCCAGATATTTAAATTCTTTAACTACCTCCACTTTTTTGCCCTTGTAAGTAAATTCCCTCTCCCTACCTAATCTTCCTTCACTGCAAATCATCAACTTGGTTTTCTCTGTGTTAACCTCCATCCCTATCTCGTCACTAAAAATCTCTGTTTTCCTCAACATTTCCCTCAGTCCCTCCTCGTTATCTGCCAATATCACTATGTCGTCCGCGAACTTTAAACAGTAGAATTCCCCCCCCCCCCCCCACTACCGTTCCTCCTACTTTTTTCTCTTCCCAGATATTGTCTATATCGTCGATAAATAAACAAAATAAGCTAGGGCTCAGGAGGTATCCCTGCCTAACCCCTTGGGACGTCTCGAAGCGCTCTGATAGTCCCTCTTTAGCTATTACCTCATTCAAAGTATTTTTGTATATCTTTTTTATCATCTGCAGCATTTTTCCTCTTACCTCCTTCTTTTGTATTTTTTCTATCATTTTTGCTCTGTTTATTCTGTCGAACGCGGTTTGGAAATCTATAAAACCTAGATATAATTTCCCCCCCTTCTGCTTTAGCTTATTGCCTATAATCGAGTTCATTACAAAGATATGCTCTCTCGTTCCCCTTTTCCCTCTGAATCCTGCTTGGCTTTCCCTATATATATTTTTACTCTCTGCCCACTCCCTAATTCTTCCTGCCATTATTTTTATTAATATTTTGTAGCTCGCGTCTAGAAGTGACACCCCTCTGTAATTTTTAGTCTCTTCCTCATTTCCATTTTTGAATATCGGATATATTCTCGCTATCTCCCAACCTTTTAAAATTTCGCTCCTGTCCCATAGTTCATTAAAAATTTCTATTATTGTTTCTGTCCAACTATCCGGTAGCCCCTTTATAAATTCGATCGTTAGTCCGTCCTGCCCCGCTGCTTTCCCGTTTTTCATTTGTTTTAAGGTTACCCTAAATTCTTTTTCCTTTATCCTTCTGTTTAAAATATTCTCTGCTTCCCCTTCTTCCACCTTTTTGTTCGCGTCTCCCCCCTCGTTCGTGTTTCTCTCCTCGTTCGCGTTTTCCTCCCTACTCGTACTATTATTTCTCTCTCTTGTTACTCCAAGTAAATTTTTGAAGTGTTCCGCCCACTGTTCTTTTTTAATGGTTTCCCCCCTTCTGAACCTCCTCGGTCTTTCTTTATTCACTACCTTCCAAAATTCCCCCATGTCCCTGCATGCTGCCATTGTTTCGATTTTTTCCTCGTTTGTCTTTCTTATCTTTCTTGCTATCATCTCTTTCAATTTGATCTTCTCGCTTCTCCACCCCTCCCTCTTCTCCTCTGTTCTTTCTTCTCTCCACTTATCCAAACATTTCCAAACTTTCTTTTTCTGTTCCCCTATTTCGCTTTTTTTGTTTCTGCTCGCCCTCTCTCCCCCTCCGTTCCATTTCAAATTTAATTCCTCGGCTGTTGTTTTTATATTCTCTACCAATAAGTTCCATTTTTCCTGTGCTGTTTTCCCCTTAAGCTCTTCCGCCCTCCATTTTTTCCCCATCAAATCCTCATATTCTTCTGCTTTTTCTTTCCTCCATATGAATCTTTCTGTGACTTTTTCTGTCCTTCCCTCTCTTTCCCCCTCCCTTTGGTCTTCTTACCCTATCTCGAAAATTACTGGCAGGTGATCTGATTCTATCCTTGTTACTATTTCCATCCTCGTTACTAGTTCTGTTAATCCTGTTCCCCCTTCTACCACCAAATCGAGGACCGATGAGCCCGCATCCCCAATAAAAGTAGATCTCCCCCCTTTATCCCCCTCCGTGCATCCGTTTTTTATCTCCGCATTACAATATCTCAAGCTTTTTAGTAATTTTGTTCCCTCTTTGTTCATTTTTCTATCTTCCGAATTTCTCGTTTTACCCTTACTTATTTACTCGTTCCCCACCCTTACATTAAAATCCCCTGCTATAATGAATTTTTTCTTGTCAAATAGACTCACCTCTATCATCTCTTTCAGCTTCTTAATCATTTTGTTAATTTTCGCGTGATTATAAATCGTTATTACATCAATTTTTTCTTTACCTAACGGAATATTTCTTATTACTACCCCGCATTCCCATTCCTTGAACTCCGCATTTTTGCCTAGCTCCTTCTTAATCCCCACCAAAACCCCCCCGCTGGCCTGGCCTCTCGTTTTTACCCTAACGGCTGCTTTCGTTTCCCATCTATACTTTTTGTTCAATTTTTTGATTAAATTTTGTTCTTTACTTCCTTCTACCCACGTTTCTTACAACCTACCCCTCGTTGCTCGCTGGTCTCTTCGTCCGCCATTGCTCCACTCGCTGGTCCCTCCTTCTCCTTGCCATCTTCCTGTGCTGCCAAACTGCCGGTTTCCTCTTCTGAAATCGTTGCTTCTACACTCGTTCTGTTCTCTGCCGTGGTACTGCTCCTTGTTTCCCTGCTGTGGCCTCCTTCTCTTCTCCAGTTGCTCCTCTCCCTCTCTCCTGATCGGAAAAAACATTCTTTCTGTTGTCTCCAATATGTTTCCTCTTCTTTCGTCCCATATGCTCATCCTCCCGTTTATTTTTATTTTTAAGTAACCCACTTGCACTTGGTTATGTTTCTCCTTTCCTGCTCTGCTATCGTTTCAATCCATTCCTGTACTTCTATTTCTCTAGGTGTTCTCTCTTCTTCTACTCTTATTCCTATTTTTTCAAAGTGTTCCGCTTGCTCCATAAATTCAATTTTTTCTCTAAAGTATTCGAAGGTCAGTAGTAATCCTCCCCTTAAGGGTTTCATCTTTTCTATATTGTACTGTTTCCTTGTAGTTCCTAATATTATTCCTTCTATTTCTTCTTTTAATCTTTTTCCCGAAGTCCTTACTCCTCTAATAAATACATTGTTTTTCCTGCTCCTTCTCTCCTTCATTTCATATTCGTACTCTCCTAATTTCATTGCATCCGGTTTGTTTACTTTTGGCTCTTCTCCTCCTTCCGCGTTGCTCCTATCCCTAGTTCCTTGCTGATCGTCGTCTGGTCGCTGTGCCTCTTCCCTTTCTTGTTCCTCGTTGCTCTCGTTCTCTGCGCTCTCGTTCTCCTTTTCTCCTTCCTCCCTCCTACACCTACTGTTTCTCTTCGGTTTGTTTATTTTCGCCTCTAACCTCTCTTCTTGCTCTCTCATCCTTTCTTCCATTCGTTTTTCCATCTCTGCCAATTTGTCGTCAAACTTCTCAACTGCCCTTCTCACCGTTTCCTTTGCTTGTTCCGCTGCTTGCTCATCTATCCTCCTCTGCTCTTCCATTTTCCTTATTCTTCTTTGTAGTTCCTTTAATTCTTCTCCTTCGCTGTTGCTGCCATCGTCTCTCGTGTTCGTGCTCTTGTTGTTGCTCTTTCTCCCTCCTTTCCCATCCTTGTTCTTCTCTATCTTTTCTCCGTTTTCTTCCTTATCGACCTCGCCTACTTTACCTTCTGATTCCTGCGCCTCTTCCACGTCTTTCTCGTCATCCTCTTCTTGCTCGGTTTCCTCATCTTCATCGTCGCTGACCTCCCCTTTACCTTCTGTCCTCTGCACTATCTCACAATGCTTCTCTTCCTTTTTGTTGCTAACCCTTACGTCAGCCTTCCTTGGTTGTGAACGCGTGATTTTGTCGCTTTTCACGAACCCAGCTTCGTTGCTCTCCTCTTCTTTCTGCAAGTACGCTCTTATATCAATTTTCTCGTTGCCTTTCTTCTCGTTTTCCTGTTTTTTGGGCTTGCCTCTGCCCCTCCTTAGCGTCTCCTGCTCTCCCGCACCCGCCTCCGCATCCATATTTGCTGCTTCCATAACCTCACTTTTGCTGCTCCTCTTATTTTCACTCCTCTTCTTCTTATCTTCTCTCTTCCTTCACTTTCTTTTCACTAGGTCGATAAATCCCCTCTTTCTCGGTATGCCTCTTCACTTTTCAACTATTTTTGCTCAGTTTTGCCTTATTTTCACTACTTAAATTGCCAGCTCACGTCTCACATGCGTCTTTCCCGCTCGATCTCGAGACCGGAAGTCTAGAAATTTTACTATAAAAATAATAATAATTTTTTAAATATAATTTTTCTGAGAACAGTTTAGACGAAATAAAAAAATGCGGTTATAAGAATAATCTCGGTTTTAACTTTCCATATGAGTTTTTACAAAATATAAAATTTTATCTTGATCAAAAAAGCAGCTTGTAGTATACAAAAAAAAACAAAGCTTAATTTTTATTTATCTTTGAAATGTTATTCAGTTTTTATTTATATTTGTTATATACTTTTTATTTATATTTGTTTATGACTTTTTCTGCTTTTTAAGTAATATAAATATATCTACATACCACAATTTGATGCTAGAATAGTCATTTTTTTACTACTATACTCTTGAATGATTAGCTTAAAATCTAGAAAATTCTTATTAGAAATTTGTATTATTAGATCCAAATATTGGAAATGCTGATCATCAAATTTCAAACTGAATCTAACATCTCCTGTGAATTCTATTAAATTATGATTTGGTGCATTGAAATTTTCATGACTGGTAGAAAAATACTGACTAAAAATTTTATGCAACTCTGATACCTTTAAATTTACCAATGTAATACTGTTTTTTTTAGATATTCTGCAGGTATCCAAATTTATAAGTTAAAGTTTATCAAAGTCTGTAAAGATTTGAGTCTGCTTTTCAATAATTGCAGGCAATTCTAAGATAGAATTTTTTGAAAATAAGTCGTCGGAAAGTCTTTGGTAGTCATTGCTAGTAACAGTATGTAGCACAGATTCGTTATTTATTTGATACAAATCCATGATATTATCTAACTCATGAATATTCACTACCTTATTTGTATCAAATGTTGATGTTGAATATTTTTCTAGAATTATAATAATATATATAAATTTATTCAACTTAAATGTTACAACTTTAGTTTCTTACAAAGTACATTTCATTATTATTGTGTGACGTGCCTTGTTTCTTTTTTTTTTTTCTTGTGTTTTGTGTGATTATGTTGTATATGTGTGTGATTGTGTTTTTGTTTGTGTTAGTGTATTTTGTATTTCCTTCTCATCTTCTTTTCCATTTGCCTTCCCTTTTTCGTCTTCTTCTCACTCTTTCATTCCATCTTCTATCCCATCCTCTTTCTTTCTCTTTCCCTCCTATACTTACCTCCCCTCTTTCTGTAAGTCCTCCCATTTATAATCATCCTTCTGTTTTCTACTACGATGTCCATTACTACTCTTGCTTCCTGGCAAGCACTGAGGACCTTCTTTGCTGCCCTTACCATTTCGTCCCTCTCTTTTCTTTCTTCAAAGGACAGCCACTCGTCTAAGCTCATTTTTCCTTCTCTATATATTTCTCTTTCCAAGTCCCATATCTTGTCTCTGTCTTCTCTGCTATTAAACTCTACTTTCAGCCTTTCTCCCAATTCCATTACGTGATTCACTTTCACTTTATGAACATTTTCAAACCATTCTTCTATTTTTGCACCTTCTTCCCATTTTGGTCCCTCTTTCACTACCAGTATTCTTTTTTTCCACTCGTCCCATTCTTCTCCTGGTGATTCGTCACTCTCACTTTCCATTTTCCTTTTTTTTCTTTTTTTTTTTTTTTCTCTCTACTTCCTCTTCTGCTCCTTTCTCATCTCTTTCTTTTCCGCTTTCTTTTAGGTTTTCCTCAATTGTTCTTAGTCTTATTTCCTGGTTCCTAGCCTCTCTTTCCAACTCTTTTACCTTGTTTTCCACATCCCTTCTTTTTTTTCTTTCTATTTCCATCCATTCTTCCAGGTCTTCTTTTTCTACTCTTCTGTCTCTTTCTATCTTCGTTATTTTCCTTTCAATTTCATCCATTTTCGTTAATCTTTTCTTTTGCCTTCTTTACTCTATGAATTTTCTTTTAATTTCTTTCTTATCTAGCCGGTCTTCTCACCTGTCCGTATTAGGGCTTTTACACCTTTTCTGCGATATCCTCCGCTCCCTCTGCTTTCACTCATGCTTACTACCATTCTCTCTTATCAATTTCTTTCTTCTCTCTTTTCACTTTTCTTTTTCTTTCTCTTTTTCTTCTTCTTTTCTTCTTCTTTTCCACTTTAGTTCCTTCATCCATGCTATTTTTTCTTTGCTCCCAACTATTATTTCTTCCCACTTTTCTCCTTCTTTTCTTGTCATTTCACATTTTTCTACTATGTGTTTCCAATTTTCCTCTTCTTTTTGGCACATTCTACATTTCTTATTTTCTTCTTTTTCCCAGTATCTACTCCCTCTTGTCTCGTTCCCTAACCTAAACCTCTCTCTTATTTGTAGGCCTCTTATTTTCCCTTCATTTTGTATTTCTTTTAGTCTACACTTCTTCATTTCTTCCTTTATCCCCTTCCACTTATATAACTTGATTCTTCCAACTTATCTTCCATTTCTTTTTCTTCTTTTTTCCTCAATTCTTCTCTTACTTCTTCCCAGAACTCTTCTCTCTCATCGTCTCCTTCTTCTCTCTCTCTGTATTTTTTACTTTCCCCTAGTCTTTCATCTCTCTCTCCTTTTTTTCATTTCTTTCTTCTCTTTTCCTTTCGTTTCTCTTCATTTCTCTCCATGCTTCTTTCTTTATTGTTCCATCCCCCTCTTCTTTAATTTTATTTTCATATCTCATCGCGCTCTCCATTGCTTTTTCTTTTATTTCTTTTCTTCCTGTTTCCCATTTTATCAGATAACTCGGTGTGTTTCTGTCCAAACCCAGTACCCATTTTATATATTTCATTTGTAGTCTTTCTATTTCCTCGTATCTTTTCCACCCCCATATTTCTGCTCCATACATTATCACGCTTTTCACTAACGCGTCAAATAACATCATCCTTAGCTTCCAATTTTCTTTGAATAATCTTTCTCCCAACCCCCATACTTTTTCTAGTCCCATATTTATTTTACCTTCTGTTTTCTTTATATGTCTCTTATTCCCATTATTTTTGTTTATTATGTATCCCAAATAGTTATATTCTTTTACCATTTCAATTTTCTTTCCTATCCACTCAAAACTTTCTTCCTTTCCTCTTCCTCCTCCTTTCTTACATTTCATCATTTTTGACTTTTCTACGTTTAATTCCAACCCTCTTTCCTCTAAGAATATCCTTAGTTTTTTCAGCATCTCTTTCATCCCATTTTCATTTTTTGCCATCATTACTATATCATCCGCGTATCCTATCGTCCAAATTTTCTTTCTTCCTATTACCACTCCTCCTTCCTGAATTTTACTCATTTTCTCTTCTAACTCCGCAAAGGCAAGATTAAATAGCGTGGTGCTCAGCGGGCACCCTTGCCTTACTCCCTTTTCTGTGTCGAATTCCCCTATTATCTCTCCTCTAATTTTTATTCTGCATCCTGTTTCCTTGTATATTTCTTCTATGCTTCTTCTGATCCTTTTATCTATTTCTTTTTCCTTCATTATTTCCCATATCTTCTTTCTTCTTATCCTGTCAAATGCTGCTTTCATATCAGCGAAGAAGACAAACAATTTCCCACCTTTTTCCCTGATTTCTTTTCCTATTGCCGTTTTTAGCACATATATTGCATCTGTTGTTCCTCTTTTTAGTCTGAATCCCATTTGCGTATCGCTTAGTATTCCTTTTTCTTCTATCTCTCTATCTAGTCTTTTCCTTACTATTTCTGCATATATCTTATATCCTGTGTCCATCAGCGTTATACCCCTATAATTGCTTACTTCTTCTTTTTTTCCTTTCTTGTATACTGGTATTATTTATCCCTTTCTCCATTCCTTCGGGTATCCTTCTCCGTTCCATACTCTATTTAGACATTTTGTCAGGTCATTTATTAGGCTTTCAGTCCCAGCCATCCACGCTTCATTTGAAATCCCATCTTCTCCTGTTGCTTTTTTCTTTTTCATTCTCTTTATCACCTCTACTACCTCTTTTACTTTTATTTCCCCTCTTTCTTCTTTTTCCCCCTTTTCCCATTCTTTCTTCTTTTTTATTGTAGTCCTTTTCTTTTTCTCCTAGCTGCTTCTTGAAGTGTTTTAGCCATTCCTCATTGCTTATTTTTTCGTCTATTTTTGCTCTTTTTTTCTTCCCTCCGTTCACTTTTTCCCAAAATTTCCTTCTCGTTTTATCTTTGCTTATTTCCTCCGCCACTTTCCTTACTTCCTCTTCTTTTGCCTTTCTTATTTCCTCTCTGTATTCCCTCTTTGCTTCCAGGTATCTGCTTCTGTCCCCAATTCCTCTTCTTAGTTCTTTCAGAGCATTCATTACCTTGTCTCTTTTTATCTTACATTCTTCTCTTCACCAGCTTTTTCTTGTTCCTTTTTTACTTCTTATTTTCTTTTTTGTTATAGCGTTCTGCACTCTAATTTTTATCTCTTCCCATTTTTCCGTTCCTTCTACTGCTCCTATCCATCTGTGATACTCTTTTATTCCTTCTTCGCTCCAGTCTTCTCTTAACCTTTCTTCTTCTCTGTTTTCTTCTTCTTCAACCCTGTTTTCTAGCTCCACTTCTACTGGTAGGTGATCCGATTTGATTCTCTCTCCCATTTGCATTTTCTTCACTCTCTCTTCCCCTCCTATATTTCCTATTACGTAGTCAATCGTCGACATCCCTCTCGCTCCTATATATGTAATTTCTCTCTCTTCATCTCCCTCTTTTTTTCCCATTCATAATCACTAATCCCATCTCTCCTAGCCATTTAACCATCTCTTCCCCTTCTACGTTTATCATAGCATCCTTTGTTTTTATTTCTTCTGTCTGTCCTTCGCTATCCCATTCTCTTCCTTCGCCTCCTGTTCTAGCGTTAAAGTCTCCTCCTATTATTAATATTTTACCTCTATTTTCCTCTATTTCTTCGGTTAGGTACTCATAATTTTCTTTTTTCTTGTGCTGCATGTAGACTGATGCAACCGTGCATTTCTCTCTCTTTATCTCTATTTCCCCTACTATGACTTCTTCTGTCCTTTCTTTCTTCCATTTTACCTTTAATCTCCCTTGTCTTTCTCTAACTGCCATCAGTCCACCCCCTATCTCCCTACCCCTTTTTCCTTCCCTTCTCGAGTCCCTCCATTCAATGTTATACTCATTCAAATTTCTTCCTATTCATATTTCTGCTTCTTCTCTTTTCACCCATGTCTCCGTAAGTCCTACTATATCAAAATTTCTAATGTATTTCCAGTCCTCTTCTTCCAAGCTCTTTATTCCCGCCACGTGAATAACATTTTTACTGTTTTTCTTCCCTTCACCTCTTCTCTCTTCTCTCCTCTCCCACTTTTATTTCCGAAACCCTTCCATTCCTTTCTTTGTCATTCTTTCTTCTCTCTCATTCCACCTCCACTCTTCCTCCCCTGCTCTTAACCCGTTGTGCCATATTTTAACTTCCTTGCCCTTATTTTTCACTTCTCTTGCTTTTCTTCTTACCTCCTCTCTTATTTTCCTCTGTTTCCACGTCCAGTCGTGATCTATATATATTTTTTTCTCCCCTAGTTTACTTTTTTTCTTCATTATTCCCTCCTTTTGTTCCCATGAGGCACACTTTATTTGCCACATCCTCTTCCTTCTATACTCTGTCCCTTCCTGTCTCTGTTTTATTTCTGGTCCTCCTATACTCCTTAGGCTTATTATTTCCCCCTTAATTCCCATTCTGTCCTTTAACCATTCCTCTGCATCTCCTTTTTTTTCCCATTTCAGTTCTCTCTCCAGATCCGTTACAATTATATTATTTACCCTACTTTCTCTATCCATCCTCTCCTTCATGTGATCCATTTCATCCCTATTATCTACTCCTTTTTCTTCTGCCCTTGTCTCTTTTCCTTCCATGCATTTTTTCATCTTATTCATCTCTTCTTCCAATCCATTCATTCTTTCTTCCCACTTCTCTTGTCTTCTTTTTTCTTCTCTTTCTCTTTTTTTCCTTTCCTCTCTATCTTTCTCTAATTCTTCTCTAAGTTTTTCTAACCCTCTCTCCCATTTTGCCTCCCTTTTTTTCTCCGCCTCCTCCATTCGCCTCATTATTTCATTTAGCAGTTCCTCTTTTTCTCTCTTCCCCTCTCTTCTCAGTTCTCTCATTTCTGCTAGTACTCTTTCAATTGCATTACCTTCTCCTTTACTCTCACCCACCCCTATCAATGTTCTGTCCATTTCATTTCCTTCATCCCCATCTGTTCCACTTCCCTCGCTTTCACTTTTGTACCTTTTCATCTGCCTCACTTCTTCCTTGTTTCCTCCCCTCAGGCCCTCTTCGCTCTCTCTACCTCTCACCCCCTTTGCCTTCCTCTTATCCACTTTACCATCCCTCTCTTTCGCTGTTCCTAGCGTTATGAACATCTCGTTCCTGTTTCCTATTCCAATTCCCCACCTTGCTCCCGCCTTAACTCTCTCTCTTAATCCCTTTGTCTTCGCCTTTATATCCCTCTCCTACGCTCCTCTTTTCCCGCCTTCTGTCTTATCTAACCTAACCTATCCTTTCTCCCTTTATTTTTTTTCTCACCTTACTTCCTTCGCCCTTTGTTTCCCTCACTTTTTCTCTTCTCCAAACCCCTTTCGACTCCTCCTGTACCTTTTCTCCCTTTTTCTCTTCACTTCCCGCTCTCCTTCTTTCTAAAATTGCGTTATACTCAGCACTCACACAAGACACGTCCACACTCATCCAAGTCTCAATATAACCTCAATCTAGAATTATAATAATTTAATTTAATTAATCTGATTAATATATGTTAGAATTATAATTGAAAAGCTACAAAAATTAAGCATGATATTTAGTATTCTTACCTTTTCCTATAAAATATCCTCTGTGATTGTTTTGACAAGTTATACACTCACACTGTTCATTGTTAATTCCAAAATAATTGGGTCCATAATCACAGGACAACTCATCTCCAACTAGGACTTTTCTGATTGACCTTATTTTCACAGAGGATTTCGAGAGTGATTCATACTTACAGTTAGGATTGCAATTATGATTGAGTAGGGCAACAGGTCCTAACAATAGTACATCTGCACTGTTCTTGTTGCTTTTCATTAAAGAAAAATCCAAATGTTGTGACTCTAAGAACTCTTTTGTTTCATTACTTATAACTTTATATGTTCCTCTGAGGAAGTTCAACTTTGTATTCTTTTGTATTATCTCTTTAGCTACAACCATTAACCCTTTGTAGTTATCTCCACTAAACCGGTTACATTTTTGTATGGTAATACATGACTCTGCACTGATAGATTAAAGATAAGCACTTAAGACAGGGTCTATCCAATGCAAATAAGATATGTTGAAAGCTGAATATAATCTATATTGTTTTACTAAATCCATTAAGTCATTTTTCACTGTTCTTAGAGTTTTTGTATTAATACAATTTATATTTTTGTATATTTTTTGTACTTTTGTTTGGATTTCAATAGAAAGAATACTATCTGTATAGATCTTCCTACAAATAAAATTTAGATTTGGATCTAAACTTAGTGACTTGCACAGGTCGTCAACTCGCATAAGGTCCCAACTTTTCATATGTACTTTTTGGTTCATAGTGTTCATTTGCGACATAATTTTTTTGTACAATATTATTTATTTTTAAATATATTTTTGGTATTGCATTTATTTTATTTAAAATAACAAAGCCATCTAATCATTGATTTAGTATTTAGTTTTTAATACATACTTTTAAAGTCTAGGTAAACAAATATAAATAAAATATGGATTTACAATTCTTTGTGATTGTGATTAATGATAAAGATAATAGAGATAATAAACCAGATATAATTTGTAGCTCTGAAACGTTATCACTCAAATTTAAGTTTTCTGATAAACTAATTATGCTGTTAGATTGTTCATTTATAAAATAACAACCTTTTTTTATTATTATTCATTAGTATGTCTGCAATTATTTAATCATTCATCAAATTTCATTTTGTGAATGTCAGTCGTTGTGTAAACACCCTTATCATGTGTGTTACAACTTTAAAAACCGTATATCAAGGGCGTTAACAGAATGATTCTGATACTTGAGAAATCTAGTCTTATAACAAATACAAAAACTGTTTTTGTATTGATACTAATTATATCATTTAAATAATTTAAAGACGAACATCTTGCAAGAAGAAATTCTTAAATGTATTTTATGTTTGTACTGTAACGGTTGTGATTTATCCGAGAGAATAAATCGGTATCCGTTAACAAAAATCAGTCACCGTCGCTTCCACGTTGCGAAGCTAACCGCCGCTTCGTCGAAGGAGGACTTACCTCCCGGCTGTCGTGCCGGCTGCTTCGTCGAATGCGGGCTCGGCGTACTGCTCACGCGGGGAAGTCGGTGGGTTCGGGTGGCTGGGCAGAGGAGGTACGTGCGCTTCTGCCCACGTCAATAAGCAAAGCGACCGATCAACTACATACACCCTTTATTCACTTGACATTTGATACACGTTCCATGAAGAAAAATTCCGAGAGCTTTTCCGAATGACGCACTGTTCAGTCGCGCATTTACAACGCGCGATGTCTTGCCGTGAGAGAGAGAGGGAGAGATATACGAATTTACTCTCGCGCGCCTAATTTAACGTGATCTTTTCGCAGTTAATTACGTGTCGGAGAAGTTACTCACTTCTCTTCGCTGTAATTTCACGGAAAATTTAGCTGCCGATTCTTCAGTTGCCGAGCTCACGTGACGGTCCTCGTTGCCCGGGAGGCGTTTCCTCCTCTTGGTCCTCTCGACACTCTTCAAATCCTGTGTCACCTGGGCGACGACACTCACTCTTGGCGTACTTGCTTCGGTACTCCTATTCGATTCCACTTTTTCCTTTATCGTCTAATGAGCAGTGATCTTCCTTTGTATCCTTCCCTTCGGCAAGCCGGTTCACACCTGAGTCCTCTTCCTCACTCCCCCCACCCCTCACCGTCCTCTCTCTCTACTCTCCGCTCGCGCACGGTTTTTCTGCGCAGCTGGCCCGCGCATGGCACGCGCTGGCCCTATATTCAGCGGATTTTTCCCTGTAACGAGCCGGCTCGTTACAGTACTTATGTTGCCAAGCTATTTTAACATTCCGAGGATTTTTAATTCTGAAAAATTTTTTGTTAGAATTCGTGTCCCTTCCTGTAGTAACAGAATCGTTCTGTAAATGCCCTAAGCCTCACAAACACTAGTCCAAGTTGCAAGCATGCATTCTAATTTACTTGTCATCTTTTATTTTTTTACTTGAATTTTAAAACTAATGAATGAAGTATTAAATAGTTGGCTTTATTACTTTATATAATTGAAATTCTAAATATATGATTGAAAATAAATCATGTTGTGCTAAAAAATTGTGTCATTGGTTGAAACTTTGAATTAAACAGTACAAATGAAAAGTTTTATATTTTAATCTAGATATTATTTATAGGATAATCTATGAAACTAATATTTTTCATGAGAGTTGTCATACAAAAAAGTTAATGATATAAATGTTTAAATAATTTATTGATAAACTACATAATGATGAGTTTTTTACATAATTGGAAATCATATATGTAGCAATAAATACATAAATACATAAATCTAAATTATGTTTTAATAAGGGAACTATAAACTTTGCAACGATCGCCGAAAATCGTTTTGACTCGCGTGGGTTATTAAGCGGCTGAGCGTAACAGCCGCGATCGGTTTGAGAGAGAGTGAGAGAGAGGGCGCGTTAGGGGCAATGACCGGGAGAGGAGAGTTAGCTAGCCAGTATGACTGTGACATTCAGTCCGGCTGCATCATAGCGATCGAGTTCCCAACGTTTTATCGTTTTCTGAGTGAAATCCAGGGAGTGCAGCAGATAATTAGTAAGAGTGGAGCGAGAGGAGTGTCAAGTGCGCGCACTGTTAAACGTACCCGGCTTCAGGACTTGCTAGAGCAACCTCATCGTCCCCTGACACCACGCTACAACGACAGCAGAACTACAACAGTAGAGCAGCAACCGCAAAGGTAGTTGATCCGAAGCGCGTGCATCGGATACGGTTGGCCACCGTATCCCCATCAATTCCGCGGTAGGTGCCCATCCCTATTTATTGTAATTAGCGTGCGATCCCGCGCAGCGTGCGCTGTGATATTATTAAAAGCGTGCGAGCGAATAGTCCGCGACGATCGCGAGATTCACTCTCTCTCTCCCCGTTTGTACTGTCATTCGAAATTGCGTGCAAAAGTCTCTCGGCAAATCCCTCTCTTATACACGTTTTAGGTAAATAAAGTGATCAGAGGTTTACACGCAACGATCTCATTGTTTTGTCTTCCCTTTGTCCGAAAGCGGTGTTATTGTTTACGTTCGATTCCAACGCGCCGGTACTTCAGCACGAATCACATAAGCAATATACGAAGCTGCTCGCCAACCGAGTTGTCAGCAGTGGCCGACGGAGCGCTGTTAAGCGAGCGCGCCAGCGCCCCTAGCGGAGAGATCGAGAACTCAACTTAGATCGGTAAGGGAACTCGGCGCAGGCGCACACCGGGACAAGGTAAGTTAGTGTGCTTACAGCACATAGATAACACGGCGTCGTTAGACCTTACGAATAATCATATTCAATAGAGATTAGAGGTTAAACGGCAGCCTGTTACAACTTCAATCTTATAATTATCACTTATAAACAAAATCTTTTTTTTATTATATTTAATTTTTTGTGATCAAACATTTTCTTTAATCTTCATAAATATTTTTATCTGACTACTATTACCCCAAGGAGCTAAATTGCAATATTTGAAATATACACTGGACGTTACTTAATTCGCGACGCGGGAAATTAAAAATTGCAAGTTAGTGATAAAAAATGTATCATTTAAATTACGTTATTTATTTCTTAGCTACCTTTTATATGAAATAATAGAATACATTTTAAATGTATGGACAATGAAATCTTGTTACATTTAGAGTGATCTATCTTTGATGTTGTAGAATTCTTGTCCATGAATTCAAAATGAATTCTATTAGTTTGTATAAAAGGTAGCTAAAAGATAAATAACGTATTAAAATGATCCATCTTTTTTATTACTAACTTTTTTATCACTGCATAATAATTATGCTTGACTCAATGCTCTCTACAGTGCATGGAAAAATGTAATATACTTCTCTATGAAACACATTGCTAGAAGATTTTTCAGTGTTGTCATCAGGAGTACTGCACATGGACAGTCTTTTCTCTTAAATCTTAAATACCTATGAATTAATTAATTATTAAAAATCATTTGTCAGTGAGTGAAAGCTCTACTACTTAGCTCTAGAAACTCTAGAAAAAAATTCCATTTGTTGAAACTAGAACATATGTTATGAAATGTATTAATATTTGAAATAAAACACTTACAATTCTTAAAAACGTATAACATTTATTCTTCATTAAAATTACATTTTGCAATTTAGTTTTTAGTATTGGCTATAGCAATGCTTCTTCGCTAGGCATTATAAATAAATTTATTATATTTTGATTGAATCATATATCTCGATTTAGCCATCCCTCGCGACGCAAGCAGTGGAATTGCAGAAAATTCATTGCCTGCAATATCTGCATCTGCCGATGCGTGAAGTTCATGAGGGCACGTGCAATAGCTGGCAGCCTGTGGTAGCGCCGCTGAATAGTGCCATAGGTGGTCCTTAATCGGTAGTAGCAACGCTTGACTCTTGCTACTGTAACTAAAAAATAAATACATATTTTTTAATAATATTATATTTTAAAGCGAGGGAGGACTCGATTTACGCACGCTCGGGAAAGCAAGCATACTTGAAATTTCGTCTTGCACATGCCGGATTGGAAAATTAAGTTAGATACATGTGCGAGAAAGTGATTTTGACCTTATGTGGCCTATTCACCCTCGATTTGTTTGGATACAAACGACCACACGGTCATTCAAATCACTTTCCCGCACTAGTATTAAAATATAAATTGCACGCTTATGCTGTCCCACCGTGCGTACGAATCGAGTCCTCGCGCAAAATGAAATAAAATGTTAAATAAGATGTACGTGATCAATTCTTACCATGATTGATGATATGTGGGTGCGCTCGGCGCACAACTCTGCTGATTTTTCGCCATGCTCAGCGCCGCCTTCGCCAATTTCCGTACTGCGGGTGGCTTTTATTATATAAGAATACTTGATCACGTACCTCTTGGGCTATCGTTGTTTCGATCTCATCCATGTTCTGTAAAATATGTAAAAAAAT